GGCCTCCTGAACCGGCCCAACCCCTTGCTGGCGCTGCCTCCCGCCCGCCCTCCTGCCCCCGAGGATGAGGACGCACAGGAGTCCGAGGTGGCCATGGAGAGGACCGGAGTGAAGGACCACTTGCAGCCACCTGGGGAGGATCACATCCTCGAGCACCTGCCCTCGAGGCTCAACGAGGGCATGTGGGGTTGGCGGGAGCGGGGGGGACCTGGGGGGATGGGGGGCAGAGGGGTCCTGGACTCCACCTCCCTCCCCTACCGACCTCGCACCAACCTCCCTCCTGCACCCACAGCCCTGCTGGATGCCTGCATGGAGCCCACGGACCTGCTGACCACGCTCTCCAACATGCTGCCCGTGCGTCTGGCCACGGCCATGATGGTGCCCTACACTCTACCGCTGGAGAGCGCCGTGTCCTTTACCATCCGGTGCGGGGCAGGGGGAAGGGGTGCAGGGACGAACTCTGGATCACCCCCAGGTGGTGGGCACTCGAGGGAAGAAAAAGGCGGCCGGTTTAAGGGGCTGCAGAGATGCCATGTCGGGGTCCCAGAAGCCAGGCACAGATGGAGGTGGGGTGGGGCGGGTGTGAGGTTTGGGCCACAGCCCCTGAGGCCATGCCTTGTGCCCCGCCCCAGCTTGCTGGAGTGGCTGCCTGACGTTCCCGAGGACATCCGCTGGATGAAGGAGCAGACGGGCAGCATCTGCCAGTACCTGGTGATGCGTGCCAAGAGGAAGCTGGGCAGCCACCTGCCCTCCAGGTGAGCTCCTTGCTGCCCTGTCCACCCCGCCTGCAGCTTCAGGGGCCCTCACGAAAGCCCTCCCTCCCTCCCTCCGTCCTTTCCCCGCCTGCAGGCTGTCGGAGCAGGGGGAGCTGCGCCGCACCCGGTCGCTGCCCTCCGTGCCGCTGTCCTGTGCCATCTACAGCGAGGCGCTGCCCAGCTGGATGCGCAACAGCCTGTCGCTGGGGGACGTGCTGGCAAAGTGGGAGGAGTGCCAGCGGCAGCTGCTGCTGGGCCTGTTCTGCACCAACGTGGCCTTCCCGCAGGACGCCCTGCGCATGTGCACCCCTGCCGGCGCGGCCCTTGTGCCCCCGCAGCACCCGCCCAGCTCGCCCCCTTGCTGAGAGCCGCCCGCTCCAGCCTTCCTCACCCCCGGTGCCGAGGGCCAGGCCCCCCAGCTTCCCTGCCCCATGAGGCGGGGCCCCGGGGCCAGCAGAGAGAGGAGATGGGGGTCCCTCACGCTGCCCGAGGGGGCTTTGCTGTCCACCAACCACTAACTTGCTGCACTGAGGACGGAGGGGAGTGGAGTAGCCCTCCCCTCGCAGAGGGCCCCCTGTCTGTGCCTTAACCTCCCCTTCCAGGCCCCGCCCTGGGGCTGGGGGCTCCTGCACCTGCGGCCCCTGCCCGACACCCACACCCGCGAGTGCAGTATTACTCCTGAGAACTTTGCACCTGTTCCTCCCTCTACATTTTTCTCATTTGGCTGAAGAATGTATGTGAATTATTTATTTTTGCCAAAGCAGATGTAATAAATGCCACCGCTCAGCCTTACCTCCTTCACTCGTTTGTGACGCCCCCCGACCCCCGCCACCCCCAGCTGACCCCCGCGGTGTCCAGCCTCCGGCCTTCCTGGGCTCCAGCTCTCCTGGAGCCTGGCACTCCGGCCCTGCCAGCTGGGCCTGGGGCTCCCCGCTCAAAGCACTGTGGGCTTCCTAGGCTTCAGCCCGCTCCTCTGGCTGGGACCCTTGGGCACAGCTTTCTAAGGACCAGTGGAAGTATTGGGGACCAAGATCCTTGCAAGATAGAAACAGAACTGTTCAGCTTCTTACCAAGGTGGTGTCTGCACCTCTGCTCCATGGTGCCCTGGGGGCGTGGCGCTGATTTCCCAAACAGCTCTGGGGGCCTGCTCCACTGCAGGTGTTTGGCCCAAGGCTCTGTGGGTGGTGCGGGTCTTGCCCTTGTCACCCACGAGCCTCACTGCGAGGTGCACACACCTCGTTCGTTCCCCTGTCCCCGCC